TAGGAGCTCATATCACTAAGGAGTAGGGATGGAGGACGACGAATATGAAGGGGCCCAGGGACACACAAATAAATACATACAAATAACAGGATTCCCCATATTTTCTCATATGTTCTGGGTTTTTGTCTCCCCCCCACTTCCCATATTTGCCCATCTTTCTTGGAAATCGACGATTCATTGTGTCTGTGTTTTTTTTTCTCCCTCCTGAGAATAGGATAACTGGGGTGAGGAGGAGGACGAGGGATAGGAGGGAGGATGAGAGGAGAGAGAGAAAGAGAGAGAGAGAGAGAGGAAGCGGAGGACGATCAATAGGAGGACGAGGGGCAGGGGAGGAGAATGGAGGAGGAGGAGGAGGAGGAGGAGGAGGACGAGGACGAGGAGGAGGAGGACGAGGAGGAGGACGAGGACGAGGAGGACGTGGAGGACGAGGAGGACGAGGAGGACGAGGACGAGGAGGTCGAGGTCGAGCGTGCCCACAAGGTCTCATCCACGAGTGGCCAGCCTACCGCCGAGCCCAAGTGAACGTGTAGGCTCCAATGAGAGGAAGACGAAGCGTCGATCGGACAGTTGACGGCCGAACACGCGCGCTTCCGAATTGCGAGGCGAGGTGATGTGCATGTAAATACGGAATTACAATACTGAAGCTGTATTCTCCGTTCGCCTGGGACCGAATCCTGAAACGAAACCAAACATTCACAAGGACAACTCTCGGAAGGGCAGCCCGCGCAAGGGCCTCAGCTGGCCTGCAGTCCAAGAGGTGTTGCGACAAGGAATCACGGCGAACGTATCCCCAGATGCAAGTGACAGCGCTGGGCGCGACATACGGGATGAGGTCGTCCATCCTCCGAGCCATGTCTTAAGCACGGCGAAAGACCACGAGAGAGGCAGTTTGCGAAGGGCTTCCCTCGCCCCGCCCCAATCCACCAGCCCAGCTCCCCACCAAGCAGAAACCACTTGGTGATCCAACGCTCCATCTGTCACCTGGAAGTCCCCTCGCGGCGGTTGGGAAGTGTGTGTGTGTGTGACACATGGGAGACGAAGGCCAAAAAGGAGGTGCGAGAGACGGCCTAGCCAACCAAGTGAAAGCCCCGTGATCCGTGATAGCCTCCCGAATCAGATCAAGGTGTTGCGCCCAGAGCTGAATCGAAACAAGGGCAGCCCTCACCAGGGCAACGTTACACAACCCAACACGACGGGAATTCAAACCCACCCCGCCTCCCAACCGTCGCCCACCCACCCGCATGAGAATCGAACTGGCGGAGCTCCAGATAGGATAACTAGAAGCAAACAGATGGCGCTCTTCATTGGCAAGGTTCCGAAGCATTTCAAAGAGCTGGGCTTTGGCTGAGCATTGGCAAGGCACGGTTACGATAGAAGACAGTATTGGCCGCGATATCAGCTGACAAGTCACTTGCATGCCTCGCCCGCTGCTGCAGTTTAGCCCGCGGCCTGCTCCATTGCTCCTGAGTGGTGACTAACGGGCCTATGAGCGTGCCAAGATACTCGAAGGCGGGCACAATGTGAATCTCCTGCCGAACCTGGATGCTGCCAGCCAAGAATTCCCGCGCCTGGCTTTCGACATCTGACGAGGAGGCTCCAACTAGCGGCGCAACCTCACATTTCCTTGCTTAGGGGGCGATGGGGGCGAACCTCGAGGCGATACAGACAATCCCGCCAAGCCTGCGAAGGCCCTTTCTGGTGAGCACCACTGCGCCCGTAACATCGGCGCAGGCCTGATGTAGGGGCGATGTGGGGGCCCTGATGTAGGGGCGATGTAGCGGCAAGTATTGGGGTGATGTAGGGGCGCGATGACACTAATCATCTCAGACGGGAGCGATAGAGTGAGCGGCGTCATCATCGGCCAAGCCTGGGGCGCACTCGGGAACGCCTGGGAGAACTCAAAAGCGAAAAGCACCGGGAACCATTCGTCATGCCGAGTGCCGCGCTGAGGGGGGCGGCCTTTTAAGAGCGATCCCGACCTCGCCCGCGCGTGTAACTCCGCGAGATTCCCCAGAAAAGGACATCTCTTCTATGCAACCGTTTCGCGCGCGCGCGGGCGGATCTGGGGCAGATGCCAGACTGCGGGGAGTTAAGCGCTGCAGCCGCACATTTGTTTCGCGCGTTCTGAAGAGCGATGGGGCCTGGTCTCATCCGCGGAACGTGCGAGCAATGTTCCTTTGGGATCCTCGGGCTTGTCTGCTCTCCGCCAAGAAAGCGGCGGGCGATTCAAAGAAGTGAAGAGGGGGTGCTTCGCCTGCGGCAAGCGCCCAAAGACATCCGTTTCATCCGAGGGGCCGTGTCCGACCGGCCAAGAGCTATGCACAATCCCGTCGGGCCCTCCTCCTCCTCCTCTTCCTCCTCCCCCTCCTCCTCCTTCTCCTCCCCCTCCTCCTCCTCCTTCTCCTCCTCCTCCTCCTCCTCCTCCTCCTCCTCCTCCTCCTCGCGGGCCGAGTCGCACGCGCGTCGAAGGAGTTTCCGCGCCGGGATTTGGGCCAGGCGGCGGAGCGCAATCAAAACATTTCCCTCGAGGCAGAAGCGCTCAGCATATCGCTGAGCGCCCGCTGGGGGCGAGGAGCTCCGTTGAAAGATCGGGGCCCGAAGTTCCGGTCAGCTGCGAGCCTTCTCAGCAGGCGAGGTGGGCGGCCCCGAAGTGCCCGAGGCGACCCCGAGAAACCTGCGACGGCTAGCGGGGCCCCGCATCCGAGGCTGCCCGCGGAGGGCCAGGAGACGCTTCGAGGCGGCGGGGGAGGGAGGGGGCGCGAGCCATTCGACTACTCTGGGCCCCCGGAAACCGTGATCGCGATCCTCTCTCATTCCTTGAACGTTGTCCAAGCGTGTCCAGATCCTCAACTCCTCCACGCGGCTTTGCCGATCGCCTGCCAGGCCGCGGTGTGGCTGGTGGGGTGGGTCACCACAAATCTCCGACATATGGCAGTCGGTCTCGCCGCCTCGACCAGCGCGGCGAGGAGCGGCAACAACTTTAGTATCTTTATTTCCCCTCTTGTCCTCCTTGGCTTTCTTGTCTTCCTTGTCGGGCATCTACAGCGGCTGAGGAAGGAACTGGAAATGCCCAGTTTACCCTCCCCATTCAGTTCCAGATGCGCTGGCCACGGGGCCACGTAGCCCTGCCACGTGCTGGTGTGACCAGATCAAGACCTGGGCGAACAGACCAAGAAAGATCGGGGTCAAACCGCGGACTAGCGGTATCCATTCGGCTCCGCTGGGAGCTTGGCATCTTGAGCCAAAATGGCTACGGAAGAAAAGGAGAAGGATGAGGAAAATGAGGAGGAAACAAAGGAGCAGGAGGAGGAGGAGGAGGAGGAGAAGGAGGAGGAGGAGGAGGAGGAGGAGGAGGAGGAGGAGGAGGAGGCGGGGGAGAAGGAGGAGGAGGAGGAGGAGGAGGAGGAGGAGAAGGAGGAGGAGGAGGAGGAGGAGAAGGAGAAGGAGGAGGATGAGGAGGAGGATGAGGAGGATGAGGACCGTGGAGGCGAGGAGCGCTCCAAGTGAAGGGCCGACAAAAACCCGTCCTGGCCGCCACGGCCTCTGGCGCCGGGCTCGGCGTGCCGGAGCGTATGCCAGGCGTGCTGGAGGGCTCCAGCTCCAGCGCGCGCAGCTCCGCCTCCTGCGGTTCGCCAAGGCGCTCCCGCCCCAGACCCCTGGCCGCTCTCCTGCGGTTCGCCAGGGCGCCTTGCAGTTTGCCAGGGGGGCCTGCATCGCAAAAAAATCGCGACGGAAGATATTCTTGGCAATTCCTGGCCTCAGGGGTCCGTTCTGGGCTCTCGCACATTGCAGAAATGACTCGGGATGAAACGTCGGTCCCTGGAAAGGCGTCCAGACTTTTCGGGGTCCACGCGGTGACGAATACGATGTCGGAGTTCTGGGGAGAGTTTGAGGGTGGAGGATCGGGGCGTTCTCGGGGCTCCGGGGGCCTTGGGAGACTGCGGATGCCTGCGGCGACTCCAGGCTGGAAGACGAGGGAGACCTCCTGGGAGGGGGGGAAGAGGGGGGAGCCAACGCCGCGGTGGGTCCGTCCGCCCGCGGGCCCACGGGGGCGAGCTCAGGGCAAGGTCGTGCTGAGGTCGCCGTTGCCGAAGGGTCCGAAAACGGTGCGCTGGGCACTGCAGCGGCGGCTGGGCGGTGGCTTCCTTGCTGAGAGGCCTTCGTTGGCGTTGGGCACCGCCACCGCAGCAACCTCACACGCGGCAGGGGGAACTCGCAACGCCCTGCGGGGGTGAGGGCATCACCCCGCCGCTGCCGCGGGGAGGCACGGGCCACCCTGGCTCGGCGGGCGCGGGGCGCGCGCGAGGCGGAGGGGCCACGCCTGTGGAGGTCGTTGCGGTCGCGTTGGGGAGCAGAGTGTCCGAGGCGTATGGGCCTGCAGGCGCAGGGCCTCCAGGAAAGAGGGCACGTGGGTGGGGGTGCGTCCTCGGCAGGAGCATGGAGCGAGATGGTTGTGGGTGGCATCGCGGCCGCGTGGAGGTAGAATCTGGGTGCGTCGTGAGGGGTGGGACGAAGAGTGAGGTGGAGGAGGGAAATACGGGGAAGGAAGATGTGGTGGTCGTGGCACGGGCGCGCGTGCGAGAAGTCGAGGAGGCGGATGAGGGAAGGGGGACGTGGGGGAATGATGATGATGATGATGATGATGATGATGATGATGATGATGATGATGATGATGATGATGATGATGACGAGGAGGAGGAGGAGGAGGAGGAGGAGGAGGAGGAGGAGGAGGAGGAGGAGGAGGAGGAGGAGGAGGAGGAGGAGGAGGAGGAGGAGGAGGAGGAAAAGGAGGAGCGGGCCTCGGCTGTACAACGTTGGTCTTCGTGCGCTCCGGCACCAGGGGAGGGGGGGAAGGCGGAGGCGGAGAGACACACAAATGGGCAACAGGGGGGGGAGGGAGGCGAGGGGCCTCCCCCAAGAGAGAGATCGGGGCAGAAGGGAAGGTCGGGCTTCGCCGTGGCCCCGGCGGGCCTTCCGCCACGCGTCGGAGAGCCTCTGGATCAGGGCCGCGCGCTCCTGCCATGGGGGGGGGACCACGGCGGCCGCCGCGAGTGCTCAAACCAGCAGCAAGAGGCAGGGGCCTACCGGCAGAGCTAGAGAGCAGCGATTCCGTGCATCTACTCGGCGTCCGTGGCCTTTCTTTTCTGCTTGCGATGCTCCCGACATGCTGAGTCTACTGTCGCAATGTCGAACAATCAACACTCAACATCCAAACGCTCTCTCATTCCGTGTGCTACTGAGCATCATGGTGGCGGACAGCTAGGCACGTCCTTGTGACATCAGCAAGTGCGGCCTCCTTTGTTTCAGAGAGGAATAAGTCGTGATCCTTCGACCAGCGGTTCTTTTCGAGGACGTTGTCGAACAACCAGTAGGTGTACTGATAGCGGCCCGGCTGGAGCTTCCTGAGCACCTGCGTGCCTGGAGCAGTTGCGACCACATTTCAAGGCAATATACCCGTACCTGAAAAGACATGTTCACTACTTTGGAAGAGGACACGGGCTGACATGGCTCGAGTGTCAGCGTGGGCGAACCGTCGAAGCTCGCGTCGAGTGCACACGAGATCGCTGCAGCTGTCGAACGTTTCCACTTGAAAGCTGTGGCTCGAAGCACCTTCGCGATGCTTCGGCGTCTGCTGCTCATCATGGCATACAGTGCGGGCGCGGTCGCAAGAAACCCTCGCAAGAAACCCAACCCTGAAAACCCGCGCGCGAGGTGCAACTGAGGGGAAACCCGGAGCACCCCGAACGCAGCAGCTCCTTCAACGGCCGCGGGAAGTCACCGCGCATCGCGCGGAGCGAAGAAACCCAGGGCACCCCGACGAAAAGTAGATGGTTTCTTGAGGCGCGCCCCCCACTGTATCAACTCGCGACCGAAAGCAAGCAGTGACCCACGGTGCCGCGCGCCATCTCCCTGTGTGCGCCTGCCCGGCACGCTCTCGCTGTCTGTCGGATGGCTCCCTGCCTGCGGGTGCCCTGCGCCCGTGCCCCTCCCCCGGGCCCCTCCCGCTCCCCGCCGCTCGGACGCCCACGCCCTGTGCTCTTTTTTTTCTCGGCCTCGTGCGCGGCTCTTTCGCAGGAGGATCCAGGAGGCTCCTTGCCAAACCCCGCCGCGGACAGGTGCACACGTCCGAGCGATACCCAGTCCCATGCGTGCCCGCTCGCTTCTGGTGCACGTCGCGTGGCCAGCGCCGCTGCCATTGAGTCAGGCCTGTCCTCCCACAGGGAGATTTTGGACGAACGCTACAGCATACCCAAAAAGTGCTCAGAAAGATGCCCAAACATAGTCAAAACAATAGTCCCCAGATTTTTATACATATATATATATAACAATAAAAAAGGGTGTGTATATATATTATGTGTGACAATTTTTGAATACTCTCAGATTTTTGAAAACAATAGTTCCCAGACTTTAATATATGTGTGTATGTGTGACAATTTTTGAATACTCCCCCTGTCGAGGGACGGGCCCGACCTAAACCCCGTCCCGTGCGTGCCCGCTCGCCTCCAGGTGCCCCTCGCGCGGCCGGCGCCGCTGCCCGGGGGGCCGCTCGCTGCAGGCGGGCCCGCGCGCCCCTCCTCGCCGCCCTCCGGGGGCCCCCGCGGCGCGGAGGGGCGCGCGGGCCCTCGGGGACGAATGGGGCCCTGGGACACACAAATAAATACACGCAAATAAACATTTTCCCTATATTTTCCCACATTTTGAGAAGGTGGTTCAGGAAACGCACGAGTGCTATCGTAGTGCAGGGCGAGTTTTCGGAATCCGTGGCGATGAAAGAACCAGGGCACTGTCTTTGCGTTCCTTTTTTGCTGCTGCTGCACTCTGTTGGACACAAAAAACTAGTCGTGAGAAGGCTCCAGATTGACACGTGTTCACCCGTGAGTTGCACGAGTTTTCTGGGCTTTTGTCTTCCCCCCCCCCACTGCCCACATATTTTCCCATATCTTCGGGGGAGTCGACGCTTCATTGTGGGGCGCGGAGGGGCGCGGAGGGGCGGCGCGGAGGGGCGGCGCGGAGGGGCGCGCGGGCCCTCGGGGATGAATGGGGCCCTGGGACACACAAATAAATACACGCAAATAAACATATGCCCCATCTGTTCCCACATTTTCTGTCTTTTGTTCCTTCCCCCCCACTTCCCACATATTTTCCCATATCTTCTGGGGAAGCGACGCTTCATTGTGGCTGTGTGTGTTTCTTCCCCTCCCGAGGGGCGCCAGCGCGCGCGGAGGCCCCCGGCCGCGCCGCCAGGTGCAGGCCGACGCGCGGAGGGCCCTCGGCGTCGGTCCTCGCTCGCCGTCGTGCGACTCAGGTCGATCGGTCGACGTCGTCGCCGTCTCTGTCGCCGCCCTCGTTGTCGCCATCGTCCCCCTCCTCGCCGCCGCCGCCCTCCTCCTCCTCCTCCTCCTCCTCCTCGTTCTCCTCGTCGTCCTCTGTCTTGGCCTCCGCGCCGGTTACAGCGGACGTGCGCCAACAGTAGGTAGGGCTCTTTCTTCTGGGCTCAGGTTTCTCCACGGTTGATTTGGAGAAAGCGCATGAGGCGACAGAAAAGAGGGCGCACCCATCTGGTACTCGTTCCAATCGTAGCCCACATGACGGAGCGATGCGAATTCACTCTGAAACGTATCGGTGCCACGGGAGGAAAAGCGGAGAAGAAAAGTGAAACGCGGGGGACCGCGCAGTGCTTGCAAACACAGTGAATAGCCCCAGACTCAGGCGCAGAGGGAGGGAGAGTCAGACAGAACGAGAGGACCAGATCTGACGAGGAAGGGGGGAGATAATATTACGCCAATGAGACCGACCACATGGCGCTGCTGGTACATAACGCATGTTTTTCAAGTTGAGACCGCACGAAAGCCATATACTGACTCTTGGGGGCGTAGCTTTCCCCGTGGCGCCGACTCAACAATCTACAACAAATTACATGACGCATGCGCGATTAATCCGCCGGCCCCCTTGCCGGGACACCAGGCTGCGAGGGTGAGGATTGCAGCTCCCTGTTTTAGTTGCGGTTTCCAGTTACCATTGTTACAGTCCTGCTTTCTGCTTCTTTGCTGTGAATTGTTGCTGAACGCGCGAGGGGGGGGAACCCCTCAAACCAGTTTTTTTTACCACGCCCAAATCGTGTTGTCTGAATTCATGGGGGGGCGTGGGACACGCGCAAATACATGATATTCGCGTCCCCGAGGCCATAATCTCTGGTAAATTACGCCATATTCGCGCCCCCGAAAACATAAACCCTGGTACGTTAGACGTTGTTCGCGTCCCCGAAGTCATAAATCATAGAACATTGCGCCATATCCGCGCCCCCGAGACCATAAACTTATGAAACTGATGCAATATTCGAGTCCCCGAAGCCATAATCCCGGATGAATTATGCAACATTCGCGCCCCCAGAGCCACCGTAAATTAATCAATCTTCGCGCCCCCAGAGCCATACACTTTCGTAACTTATGCAAACTGTCCGCGCTCCCGAAGCCATAAACCATTGAACATTATGTTAGATTCGCAATTGTGAAATATTTCGCAGTTTGTAAAGTCCCGACGTTGCTTCACGTCAGCGTCCAGACATCCCAACAGAGCTCTGGCAAGTCCCACTCTTAGAGAGGGGGGCCGGCGGCATGGAGGCGAAACCCCTACGGAAACAGTTCCTAAGTGCGTGAAAACCAGATCTGGTACCAATCATTAGGCGCATGCTAAGCACAGACATCGACGGCTTTCCCAGCATTCCGTAGACACAGAGCAGATTCCTTACAATGCGATGGGGCTAGACATGCAACCTCTGTCGCATAGGGCTGTGCGCATGTGCGAGCTCGTGCGAATCGTGCCGCCGAGCGCTAGCCTTGTAAGACCCTGCAACCGAGTCGAGGCACGCCACAATGTGACCGAGAAGTGTCAGGCGCAGTGTGTGAAGGGACGGGGTGGAGGGGTAACGATCATGTCGGATGTGATGTGCAGGCGGCTAGGGCCTGCCCTTCTACCCTTTGCAATTACTTAACATGAAAATGACTGTCTTCGATCCCCCGAAAAAGGCCAGGGAGTCGCCCCACCCTCCTCCGCGCACATGTTTTTTACACACAGGGCTTTGACATTTTATATTTCATTTTTTTTGTAAAAAACGGAACGTATTCGGTACATCAAACATGGAGCTGCCGCTGCAGCGTTCGCCTCTTTTTAGGATCGGCGCTTGGCTCCAGCTTTTCGAATGGCGCTCTCACCCCAGATCGGGCAACTATTTTCTTGATCCAAATCTTTCGTCATCGTTGTCGTCTCCATCCTTTCATTCTCCGCCTTCCGTACCCCTGGTCACTTGTGGCGTCCAAAACCTGGATCGCAATGAAAGGAGCTTCGTCGGAGATCTCAAAAAGCTTCAAACGCGCTGCGGAAAAGGCTTCCGCCACGAATGTCGGGAACGGGTAGGAAAACGCTTTCCGGAAGACGCTACGAGTTCAAGTGGGGCGCTGCGGGGATGCCTGCCCGGGAACTGTGGAGAGGAAGCTGGCCTACCCGGTGCTGCCAGCTTCTTATCTCTAACCATCTTCGCTCTCTAAAGAACTGTCTGGAAATCTTGCTCCTCCCGCTCCTTCTGCTCCAGCTCCTGCTGCTGCTGTTCGTCCTCTTCCTCCTCCTTCCTCATCCTCCTTTTCCTCCTGCGCCTCCGCCACCTTCTTCTCCAATGTACGCAGTTTTTTTTGTTGTTGTTTCCCCCCCCTACCTAGGCTCTGCCTAGAAGGGTTCTTACTCTCTGGGCTTAAAGGGGCCGGGCAGTGGAAAGCGCCCCGGGCGGTTCCCCCAGTATCCGCCCCGCGGTTCCCCCAGTTACGTCCCCTTAGCTTAGCGTTGCTTATTTCATCTTAGCTTAGCTTATTTCATCTTAGCTTAGCTTAGCTTCATCTTAGCTCAGGTTTATCTTAGCTTAGTTTACCTTCATCTTAGCTTCGCTGAGCTTTAGCATAGCAGAGTACATCATAGCATAGCATAGCATATCATAGCGTAGCTTAGCATAGCGCAGAGCTGCATTAGCATAGCATAGCATAGCATATCATACCATAGCAAATCAAATCATAGCATAGCGCAGCTTAGCATAGCATAGCTTAGCATAGCACAGCGCAGCATGACATAGCATAGCAAATCATAGCATAGCATAGCGCAGCTTAGCTTAGCATAGCATAGCATAGCGCAGCATAGCATGGCATGGCATGGCATAGCAACTAATGCTGCTGTCCTAGGGGCTCCAACTTCTAGGTAGGGTCGCACTGGGGATTTTTCTCTTTTTCCAACCGCGCAGAAAACGACGGGGTTCTTTCTGAAATTCCAGGTCCGCTGTGACACGCGCCAGCGGATGGAGCAGAAAGCACCGCAGCGGGAACGGATGGATGGGATGAGTAAGATGACAGTTAGGTCGGGCCTGTCCCCCTACAGGGGGATTTTGGGACGAAAAATACAAATATTTAAAACATACTCAAAAGATGCCCAATACTATGTTTTTTTGGGGGGCTATTTTTGAATATTCCCCCTGTAGATGGACAGGCCCGACTTAAGATGGCAGATATGGCGCGAGCGCGCCTAGCTTGTCTCTCCCCTCTCTATATACAACCGCTCAGCATAATCACTACTCCCCCGAAGATGGCTGGGGAGTAGCCTGCCCCCCTCCGCGTACCCTTTGTGTTTTTGTCTTTCTCCCTTCCCCTTTCTTCGCCCTCCTACAACCAAATCCCGTTGGGTGCCTTCCAACCGCGTCCGCAGTCCGCGAAGCCTCTCGCGTACCCATGGCCATGCACGAGGCCATGCACGAACAGCAATGCGCCTGGGAGGGGATACCACAGAAAAGGCGCACTACCCAACCTGGGCGCACGCACTTCCGAGGAAAAGAAAATGTACACAGAGGATAAGGACCGCATAGTCTATCCTTTGGATGATAAGGAGGTCCAGGGGAGGTGCTATCATCTTTGATGTGCGTTGGGCGCACACTTCAACTCACGAGTGGACACACGCACACATCAGGACATCAAGATGGATGCTCATACTCACGCGAAAGAGAGAGAGAGAGAGAGAGAGAGAGAGAGAGAGAAAGAGAGGGAGTGATTCACCGCCGCTTTGCTGTGGAAAATTCGCCCCCTCTTCCTCTGGAGCCCGGGGGTCCCCCCCCCTCTGAAAATCGCCCCCCCCCCTCTCTGCTCGAACCCCTTTCCCCCCCCCCCTGCCCCCCTCCTTCCCCGGCAAAACACCCCCCCTTCCGCCCCCTCCGGAAAACTGGGGGGGATCACTACGGGCTCGAACCCCCCCAACCCCCCGCTCGCCGCCGGCAAACGACTCCTGGGTCCTCACCACCGTCCTCACCACCGCCCTCACCACTGTCCCACTGTCCCCACCACTGTCCCACTATCCCCACTGTTCCCACCACTGCCACCACTGTCCCCACTAGTGCCGCCACCACTGTCGCACTGTCCCCACTGTCCCCGCCACTGTCTCCATCACGGTCCAATCCTCCCCACAATCCCCACTGTCCCCACCACTGTCCCACTGTCCCCACTGTCTCTACCACTGTCCCATTGTCCCCACTGTCCAACCCGCTGTCCCACTGTGCTGTCCCACTGTCCCCACTGTTCCCACCACTGTCCCACTGTCCCCACCACGGTCCCCACTGTACCACTGTCCCATTGTCCCACCACCGTCCTCACCACCGCCCTCACCACCGTCCCCACCACCACCGTCGCCACCACTGTCCCACTGTCCCCACTGTCCCAACCACTGTCCCACTGTCCCCTCGCCACTGTCCCCACCACCACCGTCCCCACCACTGTCCCACTGTCCCCACTACTGTCCCATTGTCCCCACTGCTCCCACTGTCCCCACCACCGTCCCAACCACTGTCCACATCAGTCCTCCATCCAGAGTGGGGGAAGAGGGGGAGTCGTTGCGGCGAGTGGGGGGGGAGGGGGCTCGAGCTGGTAGTGACCCCCCCCCCGGTTTTCCAGGGGGGGAGAGGGGTGGGGGCTCGAGCCGGTAGTGACCCGCCCCCTTTCATGATGGACCGGGGTGGTGGTGGAACCCTCAATGACCACCCTGGTTTTCGAGGGGGGGACGGGTTGGACCCCCCCAGTGCCTCCCCCGGTTTTTTGCCAGCAGCGGCAGAACACCCTCTTACACATATATATATATATATATATATATGTATGTATGTATGTATATATATATATATATATGCATTTGTGTATATGCATACGCATTTATTTGTCCACGCGTCCGTACATCTTCGCATACACACATACATATACATATATATGTGTATACACACATATATATATATAGATATCAGAAATTGGGGGGGTGAGATCGCAGTGGAACGGAGATCCCCAACCGGGAAATAGTTTCGTTTCGTTCGTGTCGTGCGTGCGGGCGAGGCGAAGCTGCGTGGGCGCGCGAGAGGAATGAACCCGCCGTTGCCAGGGCGAAATCAAGACAAATGACTCTCCCCCGCCTGCCCGTCCGTCCGTCCGGCGGCGGCTCGCTGGTTCCCGCGGTGTCCCATGGTGTCCCGTGGTGTCCCGTAGTGTCCGCCGTTGCTAGGGCGAAGTCAAAACAAATGATTCTCCCCCCCCCGCCCGTCCGTCCGTCCGTCCGGCGGTGGCTCGCGGTGTCCCGCGGTGTCCCGTGGTGTCCCATTGAGTGAGATCGATAGTGAGATGGATAGTGAGATTGGTAGTGAGATCGATACTGAGATCGATGTGGTGCCCCGAGGTGTCTCGTGGTGTCCGACAAAGCGAGATCGGTAGTGAGATCGATCGTGAAATCGACAGGTGTCCCGTTGAGTGAGATCGATAGTGAGGTAGATCGTGAGATCGATACTGAGATCGATGTGGTGCCCCGACGTGTCCCGTGGTGTCCCAAAAAGTGAGACCAATAGTGAGATCGATCGTGAAATTGATGTGGTGTCCCGAGGTGTCCCGTTGAGTGAGATCGTTAGTGATATCGATAGCGAGATCGATCGTGAAATCGATGTGGTGTCCCGAAGTGTCCCGTGGTGTCCTATGGTGTCCCGTCGAGTGAGATCGATGGTGAGATCGATAGATATATTGGTAGTGAGATCGGCAGGTGTCCCGCGGTGTCCCGTGGTGTCCCGTTGACTGAGATCGACAGTGACATCGATAGTAAATCGACAAGTGTCCCGTGGTGTCCCGTTGACTGATATCGATAGTGAGATCGATTGAGTCAGATGTTGGTTCCACCCCCCCTCCCTCCTTATTACCCGAAGGGTGGTCGTATATATGTATGTATATATATGTATATACACACATACATACATACATACACACACGCACGAGAGCCACGCGCACGCGCTACGCGCGCGCTTGAGTTCTAGCCGATTGCGCAGTTGTGGCCGGTGGACCTAGCGTCACGCCGCGAACCTCACTATACCAGAGGGGAGGTCACCCAGGCAAAGGCCGCTCTTGGCGTGTGGAAGTGCTGGGCCCTCTGGGGGATAATTTAGGATTTTGTGGGCGGTCGCGGAGTCGTGCGAAATCGACGTGCGACGCGTCGGAAGGCTCCGAATGTCTCCGCAATTGCGTAAGTGACTTGACTGCCACGGTGACGAAAGAGGGCCCCAGAGGCTCCTGGCTGCCAGGCCGCTGCCGCCGCCGCCGCCCCCGCGGCCGCCGCCGCTGCTGCCGCCGCCGCCTCCGTCGTGATGATCGTCGCGGTGGTCGTCGGAATGGTCGTGGTGGTGGTGGTGGTGTTCGTCGTCTGTGGACGTAATCGGATGATTGCATGTTCTGGGGCGCCTTGCGCTGATCCGGGCCCTCTGGAGGCCTCCGGTCTCTGGAGATCTGTGGAGGCCGTCGGCCGTCGTCCATTGATCGTCGTCGCTGTGGTTGTCGTCTGACCCGTGGAGGCCGCCAGGGGCTCCTCGTCGACGCTGTCGTCGTGGCCGTGGTCATCGTGGTTGTGACTGAAGCGTCGTTGTCGCCGCCAACGTCGTCGCAGTCGTCTACGATTAAGTCGGGCCTGTCCCCCTACAGGGGGATTTTGGATGAAAAATTAAAATGCCCCAAAAACGCTCCAAAATGGCAAAAAAATGCTAAACAAATGTTCCCATAATATTTTTTTTTGACAATTTTTGAATATTCCTCTGTAGAGGGACAGGCCCGACTTAAGTCTACGATCGGGGAAGGAGAACGGGGGATCCAGGATCCAGGATCGTGAATTGTCTTGGGCTTTCTTGGGCCTCGCGGGGTCGCTTTCGTCGCCGCGGTTGCCCAAGGCCTCAGACTCCCGCCGCCGCTCGTCCAGCGTGCAGGCTCTGGCCACCGCCGCCGCCGCTACCGCCGCGGCCAGCGACATCGTCGTCGTCGTCGTCGTCGTCGTCGTCGTCGTCGACTATGCTCGTTTCTGTGCGGGGTCGGACGTGGTTGGCCCTGCCGCGGCCACTCGTATCGACACTCTGCAGACACACTGAAGATCTCTGGGGACCGTCGGGGTCGTCGTTGTCCTCCTCGTCGTCCTCGACACCTCTCCTCCTCCTCTTGTTCCTGCGGTGTGATTCGGAAAGTCCGCTCGGAAATTCACGGATATTCTTCTCGGACATCGATGGAGTCATTCCGGGAAATGCTTCCAGAAACATCACTCGGATGCTCCTGGAGAAGCTCTGGGCGCATGTTGCGATCCGTCTTATGTGTGTCGACGACGGCCTGGGAGGGCTCGAAGGGGCCCCAAAGCAGCTTGGGGAGCATCTCCAGAGACACAACAGAACAACACAAAATTCACACAGGCCCGCCCTCTTCATGGAAACAGGAAGTGTTCAATGTGTTGAATTTCGAAGCTTCCCCGAGGCCTGTGAAGCCGTCCCCGGGACCTCGGGCAGGCTTCGGGAAGGCTCCAAGAGGGCCGAAACATTGACACCAATTTAACACAAGCCGCTGCCTCGTCAGGGACGGTGTTGTGTTAAATGTGTGTGTGAAAGTTTGGGCCCTCTTGGGGCTCTCCTGAGACCCCAACAGACTCCCAGGAGAGCTCTCCAAGACGAGCTGCGAGGGCTCGGAGGCCACAGTCACACGCATTTGACACAACGCAGTCCCTAGCGAGGCTGCGGTTTGTGTCAAATTCGTGTTGACTTTGGAGCCAGTTTGGGGCACTCCTAAAACTCCCAAAGGCCCCCAAGAGAGCTCTAGATAATGGCCTGGGAAGGCCCGAAGGGCGCCCAGGGAGCTCTAAGAGCGGCCCAAGAGACCCAACAATTTAACACACATTTGATATAACGCCGTGATTGACGAGGAAACGATTTGTCTTAAATGTGTGTGTTACATTTGGGGCCCTCTTGGGGCCGTCTCGGGGCTCCCTTGGGGCGTCTTGGGGCGGTCTTGGGGGCCTCTTGGGCCGTCTTGGGGCGGTCTTGGGGGCCTCTTGAGACGTCGTGGAGCGCCAGAAGCTCGTGAAGGCAAGAACCTCCCAAACACTGAAAACCCAACGGCAAATCAATGGTCTTTGCCTCTTGGGGCCCTCCGGGGAGCGTTCGTCGCGTCCTCTTAAGCCTTCTGGGGGCACCTTGGGACGGAAGGCTCGTACTGTCGTTTCGGGCTCCTGCTCTAGGGCCCCTCGTGGGGCCGTCTTGAGGCCCTTCTAGGCTGTCCTTGGCGCCTCGATGGCCGTCTTGGGGCCCTCTTGGGCCGTCTTGGGGCGGTCTTGGGGGCCTCTTGGGACGTCGTGGAGCGCCAAAGGCAAGAACCTCCAACACACTGAAAGTCCAACGGTGAATCAATGGTCTTTGCCTCTGGGGGCCCTCCAGGGAGCGTTCGTCGCGTCCTCTTAGGCCGTCTGGGAGCATCTTGGGACGGAAGGCTCGCATCGTCGTTTCGAGCTCCTGCTCTAGGACCCCTCGTGGGGCCGTTTTGAGGCCCTCTTAGGCTGTCCTTGGCGCCTAGATGGCCGTCTTGGGGCCCTCTTGGGCCGTCTCAGGGCCCTCTTGGGGTCCTCTTGGGACGCCGTGGAGCGCCAGAAGCTCGTGAAGGCAGGAACCTCTAAAACACTGAAAGCGGAAGGCTCGTATTGTCGTTTCGGGCTCCTGCTCCAGGGCCTCTCTTGGGGCCGTCTTGAGGGTCTTGGGCTGTCCTTGGCGCCTCGATGGCCGTCTTGACCTTGGGGCCCTCTTGGGCCGTCTTGGAGCCCTCTTGGGGGCCTCTTGGGCCGTCTTGGGGCGGTCTTGGGCGTCTCTTAGGACGTCGTGGAGCGCTGGAAATTCTGAAGTTCAGAAAGGTGAGAACCTCCCAAACATTGAAATCTACATGCCCATTGGATATGTATGTATGTATGTATGTATGTATGTATGTATGTACGTATGTATGTATGTATGTATGTATGTATGTATGTATGTATGTATGTAGGTCGATAGGTAGGTAGGTCGGTATGTATGTATGCATGTATGTATGTATGTATGTATGCATGTATGTATGTATGTATGTATACATGTATGCATGTATGCATGTATGCTTGTACGCCTGCCTGCATGTGTATGTATGTACGTATGCATGCATGTATGCATGTATACATTATGTATATGTGTATGTATATATATACGTATATATGAATGTATGTATGTCTGTATGCATGCATGTATGTATGTACGTATGCATGTATGTATGTATGTATGTATGTGTGTATGTATGTATGTACGTATGTATATGTACGTATGTATGTATAGATGTCTGTCTGCCTGCCTGCCTGTCTGTCTGTCTGTCTGTCTGTCTGTATGTAGGTATACATGTATGCATGTATGTATGTATGCATGCATGTATGCATGTATGTATGTTTGTCTGTCTGTCTGTCTGTCCGTATGTATGTATGTTCGTAGATATGTACATGCGCATGTGTGAATGTATGTCTGTATGTATGTATGTCTGTATGCATGTATGCAGGCATCTATGTATATATGTATGCATGCATGGGCGTATAGACATTCGTACAAACATATGTATGCATGTATCGTGTCGTGTATATAATATGTATGTGTATATATATACTTCTTGACTCCGAAGACGGTCACAATCTCCTGAGGCCGCCTGGGAGACCCCGGAGGGCGGTGCCGCGAAAGGCGCGAGATGACATCGAGGTACGGTTCGGAACCCTGGGGGAGGGGGGGCGTATACATTCATATTAGATGTCTAGTTCCCCACGTATTTCTCTTACCCCGCTAGCAGCCAAGTTGACGGCCCCAGTATCTATTAGGACAGTCGTCGGGATAACCATCAGCACATTCATAGCGACAACCATCGAGACATCTATCGAGACTACCATCGGGACCACCATCGGGATCACCATCGGGACACCCATCGGGACAACAATCGGGACAACAATCGGGACAACCTTCGGGACGAAGACAACCATCGGGAAAACTATCGGGACAATCATTGGAACAACCGTCGGGGTAACCGTCGTAACAATCATCTGGACAAGCATCGGGACAAGCATCGGGACCACCAACGGGACACCTATCGGGACAACCATCGGGACAACCGTCGGGACAACCATCGGGACATCCTGGGAACCACGGCCTGGACCCGGGGCGACACGTACGGCACAAACTAAATGAAACGATTTCCCGGTTGGGGCACCTCACGCTTACTTCGGTCTCACCTCCCAACCCTGTTACACCACCACCTGGCCCGGTCAGTGCCGTCCTGGGCCCTGGCATGGTGGTGGTCTGCAGATGCCCTGTGGAAATGGGCAGTGCGAGGGAGAGGGGTTTGGGGAGGGGGCAGGAAAGGGGAAGGAGGCACTGAGGGAGAAACGCATCTTGAACTCTTTCTCCCTCTGTTTCTCTCTCTCTCTCTGTTTGGTTCTCTGCCTCCACAGACACACTGCCTGACTCCATTCCCACTGCTCCGTCCTCTGATATTATATCCACGTGCCTCTCCACACCGTGGCCACTGCACAATGGTGTGCGAGAGGCGATGCGGTGATCGCAGTGTGCTCGCGCCGGCGATGGGCGCCCCGAGCGCCACACTGCTCCTCGCTGGTAGGCCCCCTTTATCCCGCACGGGGGGTCTCAGATGGCGGCTGCCTCCTGCTCCTGCTGCCAATGCTCGTCCCGCTGCTGCTCCCCTGGCGGCTGCTGCGGCTCCCCCTTTCTCATCCTGCTGCCGCTGCTCCCCCCGCTGCCCCCCCTGGCTGCTGCTGCTGCTCCACTGGCTCCTGCTCATCCTGCTGCTCTCTGGGAATCCCAGCTGCGGTGGCAAAGAGAGGGGCGGCGGATGGCAGGGCGCCGCGCGGCGTCGGCCACTCGGCCGCCCAAGTATCCCGCCCTGCGGAGCCGCTGACGCGGGCCCCCGCCACTCGGGGGCGGCGCCGTTCCCGGGGACGCGTTGGCCAGGGGGACCGTGGTTCGAGAAGAGGGGGGGCCCAGAAGGGAAGGTAGGTGATGAGAGAGGGAGAAAGAGACAGAGAGAGAGACAGAGAGAGAGAGAGAGAGAGAGAAAAAAAAGAGAGAGGGCAAAGAAGACAGGTCGGCCCCTCCTCCTGCGCCTTTCGCCTCCCCAGGACGGTGAAGGTGGGTGGGGTTGGGGAGTAAGCGGAAGATGGGGGGGTGGGGGGTGAGAGAGGACAGATGGCGGGGAGAAAGGTGAGGATGCTGGAGAGGGAGGGAGGGGGGGAGGCCAGAAGACGGGACGGAGACTGGTTCCGGCGCCAGCCTCAAATATCGCTAGTCTAGCAATCTTAAGTCTCCGGCAGGTCCGTACTGGAGCCGCAGATTTTCCCCTTTGGCGCTTGCAGCATCGCGCCTGCAACATGCGATCTGCCTGTCTGGCTGCCTGACTGTCTTTTCTTCTGTGCCATCTCCCCATCTCTGCTTCTGGACAGTCCGCCCTTTTGCCCAGTTCATGCCATGGACATCAAATTCAAAATCATAATCAAAATCAAAATCAAATTCAATCTTCGTGCAGGCATGCCTATAACCTCTGGCATGCACAGACGCCGGCGCCGCCGTTACGACAGATATGGGGTTTTTGCTTTCGCGCCGAGGCCGCGTCTCTGTGCTTTCGCCCCGTCGGCCGGCACCGCCGTTACGGCAAAATTTCGCTTTAGGCTGTCACCCTATCGTCTCATCGTCTCCGCTGCCATTTCACTCAAGCTGCTCCACCAGTGGGCAGCAGCAGAGAGGCCGCTCACAGGCCCCCCAGGCGGCGCCTGCAGCCTAACGTACGATCCGAAACAGTCCATCAATACATAATCAAACACTGATTTTGGGAAAAGGCTGCAAGCGCTCGTGGTAGTAGTTCTGCCACGCTCTCTATTGCACTGCGGCGACCGCCGAGCTTGGAAAAAGTAGCAGAGTGGGACACGGGGTCGGCCCCTCCTCCTGCGCCTTTCGCCTCCCCGAGGAGGGTGAAGGTGGGTGGGGTGGGGGAGTAAGCGGAAGATGGGGGGTGGGGGGTGAGAGAGGACAGATGGCGGGGAGAAAGGTGAGGATGCTGGAGAGGGAGGGAAGGGGGGGAGGTCAGAAGACGGGACGGAGACTGGTTCCGGCGCCAGCCTCAAATATCGCTAGTCTAGAAATCTTGAGTCTCCGGCAGGTCCGTACTGGAGCCGCAGATTTTCCCCTTTGGCGCTTGCAGCATCGCGCCTGCAACATGCGATCTGCCTGTCTGGCTGCCTGACTGTCTTTCCTTCTGTGCCATCTCCCCATCTCTGCTTCTGGACAGTCCGCCCTTTTGCCCAGTTCCTGCCCTGGACATCAAATTCAAAATCAAAATCAAAATCAAATTCAATCTTCGTGCAGGCATGCCTATAACCTCTGGCATGCACAGACGCCGGCGCCGCCGTTACGACAGATATGTTTTTTTTGCTTTTGCGCCGAGGCCGCGTGCAGATAATCGCGTTTCTGTGCTTTCGCTCCGTCGGCCGGAACCGCCGTTACTGCAAAATTTCGCTTTAGGCTGTCACCCTATCGTCTCATCGTCTCCGCTGCCATTTCACTCAAGCTGCTCCACCAGTGGGCAGCAGCAGAGAGGCCGCTCACAGGCCCCCCAGGTGGCGCGTGCAGCCTAACGTACGATCCGAAACAGTCCATCAATACATAATCAAACACTGATTTTGGGAAAAGGCTGCAAGCGCTCGTGGTAGTAGTTCTGCCACGCTCTCTATTGCACTGCGGCGACCGCCGAGCTTGGAAAAAGTAGCAGAGTGGGACACGGGGTCGGCCCCTCCTCCTGCGCCTTTCGCCTCCCCGAGGAGGGTGAAGGTGGGTGCGGTGGGGGAGTAAGTGGAAGATGGGGGGGTGGGGGGTGAGAGAGGACAGATGGCGGGGAGAAAGGTGAGGATGCTGGAGAGGGAGGGAGGGGGGGAGGTCAGAAGACGGGACGGAGACTGGTTCCGGCGCCAGCCTCAAATATCGCTAGTCTAGAAATCTTGAGTCTCCGGCAGGTCCGTACTGGAGCCGCAGATTTTCCCCTTTGGCGCTTGCAGCATCGCGCCTGCAACATGCGATCTGCCTGTCTGGCTGCCTGACTGTCTTTCCTTCTGTGCCATCTCCCCATCTCTGCTTCTGGACAGTCCGCCCTTTTGCCCAGTTCCTGCCCTGGACATCAAATTCAACATCAAAATCAAATTCAATCTTCGTGCAGGCATGCCTATAACCTCTGGCATGCACAGACGCCGGCGCCGCCGTTACGACAGATATGGGGTTTTTGCTTTTGCGCCGAGGCCGCGTGCAGATAATCGCGTTTCTGTGCTTTCGCCCCCCCGGGCGGCGCCTGCAGCCTAACGTACGATCCGAAACAGTCCATCAATACATAATCAAACACTGATTTTGGGAAAAGGCTGCAAGCGCTCGTGGTAGTAGTTCTGCCACGCTCTCTATTGCACTGCGGCGACCGCCGAGCTTGGAAAAAGTAGCAGAGTGGGACACGGGGTCGGCCCCTCCTCCTGCGCCTTTCGCCTCCCCGAGGAGGGTGAAGGTGGGTGGGGTGGGGGAGTAAGCGGAAGATGAGGGGGTGGGGGGTGAGAGAGGACAGATGGCGGGGAGAAAGGTGAGGATGCTGGAGAGGGAGGGAGGGGGGGAGGTCAGAAGACGGGACGGAGACTGGTTCCGGCGCCAGCCTCAAATATGGCTAGTCTAGCAATCTTGAGTCTCCGGCAGGTCCGTACTGGAGCCGCAGATTTTCCCCTTTGGCGCTTGCAGCATCGCGCCTGCAACATGCGATCTGCCTGTCTGGCTGCCTGACTGTCTTTCCTTCTGTGCCATCTCCCCATCTCTGCTTCTGGACAGTCCGGCCTTTTTGTCAGTTCCTGCCTGAAAATTTCCCCTTCCAAGAACCTCTTCCAATCTAGCTCTCCCATTATCTGCCGAGGACGGCCTGAAGGCGCAGCAATCATATCATAAGGCGACGACATTGATCCATCAAGACTGTCTGCACCCTTGAGCGAGTCAGTCTAGGGTACGCTGCTTGACGTTTCTAATGGCGGGGCCGCAAAGCGTTAGGTATGTATGTACGAGTCTACAAATGCATTCGTTTGTTTCTGACTGTTCCTACCTGATCGGCCTCTGCCTGTGGCTTTGTCTCGGCGTCTGTCTGTACCAATGTTTGTCTCTGCCTCCGAGCCCGAGTCTGTCTCACTCTCAGTCTTTACATCTTACTGTCCGTCTGTCGTTCCCTCCCTGTCTGTCTGTTCTTTTGGACGCGCAAGTGTTCCCAACAGCGTCCAGGCGTGATGCGCTCGCTTTGCATTTTGAACATAAGTTTGCCTGTCTGTCTCTGCCTCTCAGGCCCTGTCCGTCTGTCTGTCTGTCTGTATGTCTGTTTGTCTGTCTGTCTGTCTGTCTAATCGTGACCCTGTCAGCAAGTCTGCCCGCCTGCGCATTCGTTCGGTCGCCTATCATTTTTGCTTGGGTGTGTTTTTTGTTGCACGAGCGATTGTACACGAGCGAGACTCCACATCTGCGACTGGACCAATGCTCGCATGATCGTGAAACCACGCTCCTCTCTTATGCAGTCTCTGTTGTTATGGTTGCACGATGGCGCCTCGAGCCACGGGTAAGCATTGGGGGCAATGGCGTCTACCGCCGTCATGAAGCTCTTGCCGAGCCCTAGCGTTGGGGCTGGTGCAAATCCCAGCTCTACCGACGCCCCCGCTTGCGCAAGACAGACATCGACCTGGCCCCTCAAATGTCTCATTCCAGATTCCAGAGGTTCTGCCGTTTCCAGGGCTCCCCTCGGGTCCACCCTGGCCGGTTAACTACTGACCCCGATCAGTTTTTTGACGTCCCTGGGGTTCGAAAAAGGGCCTAGCCTGATGTGGAGCACACGCCTTTCGAACCTCCTCCTCCTCCTCCTCCTCCTCCTCCTCCTCCTCCCTCCTCCCTCCTCCCTCCTCCCTCCTCCCTCCTCCCTCCTCCCTCTCCTCCCTCCTCCCTCCTCCGGAGCCTCACCCTCCAGCGGATGCTGGTGGGCAGGGGGGGCGGGCGAAAAGGGCAGACCGGAAGCTCGCGCCTATCGTCCTTCGGCGGCTCTGCCGCCGGGCCCAGAGAGCCACCTCGGCGGGCGCGCGGGCCGCGCTCCGCCCTGCCAGGGCTCTGCCAGGAGGTCGGCCATGCGGCCTCTTCCGTCGCCCCCCGCTGCGGAGCACTGCGTGACCTGTGGCTCCTGCCGCTGTTCCTCCTCCTCCTCGTCCCCCCCCTCCCTCCTCCTCACTCTCTTTTCCTACTGCTGCTGCTTCTGCTGCTCCTCCTCCTCCTCCTCCTCTTCATCCTCCTCCTCATCCTCCTCCCCCGTCCTCCTCCTCCTCCTCCTCCAACTCGTGACTTCTGAAACATTTTCCAAGCCTTCACCGACGACACGGAAAACTATTCAGAAGGCCGTAGGCCTTCTGAGAAGCCCCGCCGCCTTCTGAGAAGGCCTTCTCCTTCTCACTTCCCCCCCTCGCTCGTCACCGAGCTGGAGCGGCGCAAGAGTGACCCTGGGTAAGAGTGACCTTTGGTGCGCGGCTTTTCGGGCTCCGCGCGAGGACCAGACACAAGCGCGCAAGACGCTACCATCGCGTCGCGTTTGGCGATCGGTGGACCCCAGTGGGCCCGCACCAAAGGTCACTCTGGCGACGGGTCACTCTTACGTGTAGCCGATCCACGTGCTACGTTTGGCCAGACCCTGTTGTGCCGGTGTGGATTCTTATGTTTTGGCAGGACGGGTGGGAGTGGGCGGGCTCACGGGTCGTTCGGGCTGGCAAGCTTGACTCCTCCTCCTCCTCCGACCCCTCCTCCTCCTCCTCCTCCTCCTCCTCCTCCTCCTCCTCCTCCTCCCTCCTTCTCCTCTTCCTCTAGATCGTTGAGTGGCTGGAGCCGGCCTTCATCCAGCACGTCTGGGAGTTCCGTCCTCTGGCCGTAGCACGCAAAGAAGAGCGAAGGCGGGGCCCCAGCCGATCGAAACCCGACAGCGGCGTTCCGCCTTCCAGCCCCTTGCAGGGCACTGTCAAGCCCTCTTCTCGACGCAACTGCGTCGAATTTCCCGCCGATTCTTGGCCAGCGAGTTGTGGCCTCCTTGCAGGCGGAGGAGAATCAAACACGCGGCCGCCTCTCAGAGACCCGGCGCGCCTCGAGCCCACGCTAAGGCCACTGCCCTGCGCCACGCCACGGGCAGCTGCCCTCCCTGGGCAGCGGCGGCGGCGCGGGCGCTGTCGTAGCCGACGGCGGCGGCGTCGCGGGCGATGTCGTAGCCGGCGGCAGCAAGCTTGAAGGTGAAGGCGAGGAGTGCTGCGGCCGCCCTTCATTATTTTCTCACCGCTCGTCGCCTCCCCATTTGCGGCCGCATGAGCAACGCAACGAAAACACATGGGATGGCATGCCGGGCCCATGAGGACTACATCAACATGTCAATCAGCTTTCAAGATAGCCCGTGCGGCCTTCATGATCCACTAGGGAGGCCTCAAGACGCACCCGAGAGGGTCAACAAACACTGAAACGACTGATGCTGTTCAATCTGTTGTGCCCGTCCCCCGTTTTGCTCCCAAGGTGTCCCGGTATGTCGTCAACAAGGGCCCCATGGTCGCCAATCTAACTTCAATGTTTCTCAAGATGGACCCATGGGCCCTAATACGCCGCCAAGTTGGCCCAACATGGCCTAAGACTTCCAACGTCGGCCGCAAGATCACCTCCATAGGCCTTAGTGAAGCCTGGCTGTTGTCCAACATTGGCCGACGGTGGCCTCCAGGGGCCCCGATATGCCTCCCCAGGAGGGCCCAATCTGTTCCAACAACTTCTGCCTGTGATCGACATGCCCCCCCGACCCGCCTGGACTAACTAACTCCCCTCAACAGAGGCGCATGAGGAGGAGGCCCAGGAGGCCGAGGAGGAGGAGGAGGAGGAGCAGGAAAAGGAGGAGGAGGAGGAGGAGGAGGAGGAGGAGGAGGACGAGGAGGAGGAGGAGGAGGAGGAGGAGGAGGATGGTAGCACCTGGCCTAGCGAGGTCCGCGAGCACGGGGCCCACGTGCTGCACGCGCCCAAGCGCGCTGGAGCAGTGCGCAATTCGTGCGAAGCGGGATGAAGGTCGGCGGGGATGTTTCGCCACTCGCTGGCTTTAACCAGAACGGTCCCGTCTGGCGCAGACTTGCAAGATGCCGTCCTGAGCCCACACCAACCGGATCAGAGCTAAGAATTTGTTACACACGTCCTAACGGCCACGCGCAACACTTTCTGCCTATGACCGACAGCCCCCCCAGACCCGCCTGGACTAACTGAAACCCCTCAAAAGAGGCGCATGTGTTTCCCAACCATCCTGTGGTGTTGGGTCCTCGTTTTGAAGAGACAGCGCCCCGCGTCTCCTCCTCTCCTCTCCGCCTCCTCCCCCTCCTCCCTCCTCTTCCTCCTCCTCCTCCTCCTCCTCCTCCTCCTCCTCCTCCTCCCCCTCCACCCTCCATCCTCATCCTCATCCTCTTCCTCACCATCACCATCGCCATCGCCATCACCGTCATCTTCATCATCAGCATCATAATAATCATAATCATCATTATCATCATCATTATCATCATCATCAACATCATCATCAGGATCAGGATCAGGATCAGGATCATGATCATGATTATCATCATCATCATCATCATCATCATCATCATCATCATCATCATCATCATCATGTTCATCATGTTCATCATGTTCATCATGTTCATCATTTTCATCATCATCATCCCACGCGTCCGTGCCATCAACTTCGGCACGCCGCTCACACGTTTCGTGGCCCCATGGGGAGCTCCACCGAAAGCCCCAGTGGCAGGGCTTACATGCGTCTCCGCGGCTTATTCCGGCGCACAACTCACACGGTTGGTGACCCCAGAGGGAGCTCCACCGAAGGTCCTAGTGGCAGGGTTTACGTGCGTTTCCGCGACTCATTTCGGCACGCCCCTCACACGGTTCGTGGACCCATTGGGAGCTCCACCGTAGGCCCCAATGGCAGGGTTTACAGTCCCCGCGGCTCATTTCGGCGCACCCCTCACACGGTTCGTGGCCCCATGGGGAGCTCCACCGAAGGCCCCAGTGGCAGGGTTTACATGCGTCCCCGCGACTCATTTCGGCACGCCCCTCACACGGTTCGTGGCCCCATGGGGAGCTCCACCGAAAGCCCCAATGGCAAGGCTTACATGCGTCTCCGCGATTCATTCCGGCACACCCCTCACACGTTTCGCGGCCCATAAGGAGCTCCACCGAAGGCCCCAGTGGCAGGGTGTACATGCGCCCCGCGATTCATTTCGGCACGCCCCTCACACGGTTCGTGGCCCCATAGGGAGCTCCACCGAAGGCCCCAGTGGCAGGGTGTACATGCGTCTCCGCGACTCATTTCGGCGCACCCCTCACACGGTTCGTGGCCCCACTGGATTTCGGCACACACCCCAAACGTTTCGCTGTTCCATAGGGAGCTCCACAGAAGGCCCCAGTGGCAGGGTTTACATGCGTGCCCGCGATTCATTTCGGCACACCCCTCACACGGTTCGTGGCCCCATAGGTAGCTCCACCGAAGGCCCCAGTGGCAGGGTGTACATGCGTCTCCGCGACTCATTTCGGCACGCCCCTCACACGGTTCGTGGCCTCACGTGGAGCTCCACCGAAGGTCACAGTGGCAGGGTGTACATGCGTCCCCGCTTAACATTTCGAGGAAGAGACGCTTGCGCGAGGCCCCTGGAATTCTCCACGGCGCAAGGCCCCTGGACCTCTCGACCCCACTGGGCCCCTGTCCTCCGTCTCATCTCCCTCTCAATACTCGCAACTGCATATGGTTGGGTCGTTCGTCATGCTTCTGTTTTTGTATGCGGTTGCGGCAGCACCTTGCCTAGCGCGATCCGCGAGCATGGGGCCCATCCTGACTGGCGCTGCTGGGGCCCGCGCTACCGTGCAACACCCCCTTGCGCGACCTGGGTAGCACCGAGAAGCAGCGTCCGCAGCGGAGAGCCCCACGACAACCCCAACATGGTCGCAGGCCCCACCCAGAACGGCCCTAGGATGGTTCCAGTGCGGCCCAAGACGGGCCCAATATAAGCGAAATGCGTCGCCAGGGCACGGATGCTTTTCGCCGGGGTTTGCTTTCGCTGGGCTTCGTTTCGCCAGGTTTCGTTTCGCCGGGCTTGTTTTCGCCAAGGTTGGCTTTCGCCGGGGTTGGCTTTCGCCGGGGTTGGCTTTCGCCGGGGTTGGCCTTCGCCGGGGTTGGCTTTCGCCAGGGTTGGCCTTCGCCGGGGTTGGCTTTCGCCGGGGTTGGTTTTCGCCGGGGTGGGTTTTCGCCGGGGTTGGGGGCGGGCTCCAGCGGGCGGGTCGGGTCGGGCGGGCGGACCCTAACGGGAGGGACGGGTCGGGTCGGGTCGGGCGGACCCTAACGGGCGGGTCGGGTCGGGCGGGCGGGGGTGGGGAAAGTGAGCACGCGTGAGCCCTAACTGGCGGGTCGGGTCGGGCGGACGGACACTGACGGGCGGGGCGGGACGGGTCGGGTCGGGCGGGCCCTGACGGGCGGGTCGGGTCGGGCGGGCGGGACGCTAAACTGTGGGGCGCGCCGGAGCGAGCACGCGTGAACCCTAACGGGCGGGTCGGGTCGGGCTGGCGGATCCTGACGGGCGGGACGGGTCGGGCCGGGTCGGGCGGACCCCAACGGGCGGGTCGGGTCGGGCGGGCGGGACACTAAAGTGTGGGGTTCGCTGGGGCGAGCACGCATGAACCCTGACGGGCGGGTCGGGTCGGGCGGGCAGACCCTAATAGGCGGGACGGGCCGGGTCGGGTCGGGCGGACCCTAACGTGCGGGTCGGGTCGGGCGGGCGGGGCACTAAAGTGTGGGGCGCGCTGGAGTGAGCACGCGTGAGCCCTAACTGGCGGGTCGGGTCGGGCGGACGGACCCTGACGGGCGGGGCGGGACGGGTCGGGTCGGGCGGGCCCTGACGGGCGGGTCGGGTCGTGTGGGCGGTGCGCTAAAGTGTGGGGCACGCTCGAGTGAGCACGCGTCCGGTTTTGCCAGGGGGGCACGTTGCACTGACTGACCCTGGGCCTCAGGGGGGCCTGAGCAAGGGCGGTGTGCATGTGTAGGTCAGGCCGTTTTGGAAGAAGGCGGGGGGTTGTACTTCCAGTGCTGCTGCGGGAACGCATCGGAGCTCCAGCCAACCGGCCGCGGGCAAGAGGTGCCAGAGGAAGAGAGGCGGAACAGGAGCAGCAGTGTAAAAGGACAGGAGCGGGAGGAGGAGAAGAGGAAGAGGAAAACGAAAACGAACCCAGGCGAAAACCATCCCAGGCGAAACACCAACCCGGGCGAAAGCCAACTCGGGCGAACGCTGGGCGAAAGCCAACCCGGGCGAAAAAAAATTCGGGCGAAAGCTAATCTGGGCGAAAGCCAACCCGGGCGAAAGCCAACCCGGGCGAAAGTCATCCTGGGCGAAAACCAGCCCGCGGCGAAATCCAGCCCCGGCAACCGCAGACCCCGGGCGAAACGAATTGGCCGAAACGAGCCGGTCGAAAGCCATCCCGGGCGAAAAGCATCTGCTCCGTCGCCAGGACGGCAGCGGGGGGAGGGTCCTCGCAGAAGGCAGGGGCCTTGGGCCTTCTTGGGAGGGGTCGGCTCCTTGCCCGCTGTGCGCCTCACGCCCTGTGAGGGGCGGGGGGGCCTTCTCAGGAGGTCCCCTCCTCGCCCTGCCCCCTTTCGCGCATCGCCGGGAGGCGGGGGGGGAGAAAGGGTGAGGTGGGGATGAACTGGACTGGCGGTTGCAGTGGGGGTCTTTCGACAACCCCCCTTCCGACGCCGATCTCCTCGTGGCGAGCCACCCGAAGCGGAGCGACGGCTGGACGGAAGGTCCGGGAAGGTGGTAGGTAGGGAAGGGGGGGCGGGTGCCGAAAAGAAGGGTGGTGGGCCCAAAACGGACGGTCGGGTGCGAGTACGGATGGCATGCCGGAAGAAGCGAGTGCACAATTTCTTTTTGACGCGCGCTTGCGTCGCATCTTGGACGCGCGCGCGCGCTGCAGCGAGGGTTACACGTAAGGGATTCCTTCCTTCTCGGCAGCAACAACTCCTCCTCATCCGCCTCCTCTACCTCCTCCTCCTCCTCCCCCTCCTCCTCCTCCTCCTCCTCCACCTTCAGCAACAAGAGCTCCAAGCCGCACGAACGGACAGCGGACAGCACACGCTTCAGAGAATGTATACTCCAAGCGAGCCTTCGCACTCAACATCGGAGTTTCAGCCAAGCGGCACTACGGATCCACTGCCTGGGACCAAGGCGATGTGACACGCACTTGCAGAAGCAACCATTTGCTTATTCAGTAGGATATCCTCGTTACGGTCACCAATCCAACCTTCGGCCCTCGCCCCCCTCTTCCATCGTGGGGCACGAAAGGGGGATGGGAAAAAGGGGAAGTTGGACAAGTGGGTGCGACGGTGATCCGTCCACGCTGTGCTCTTGCTGGGAGACCCGGGTCATCTGGCGGAGAGCGGAACGTGAAGCGCGAGGTCATCGTGCTCCGCCTTCCTCCGCAGGTAGCCAGGGTCCTCCGCCTCCTCGCCCTGGGGCAGCAATGACGCCATGCCCTGCGCCTGCACCCGCTGGAAGAGCGATCGCCACTGCTCCCCGGAGAGCCCCTCGGCCGCCAGAGACCTGGCGGCTGGCTGCAGGTGGGCCAAGACCTGCTTCGAGTGGGCGCCCCAGAACCTCTCGTTGACCAGCAGGGACACCAAGATCTTCCTCTGCAGTTGGGACCACGCGAGCCCCACGTCCTGCTCGCTCGCGCGAGAAGGACCGTTGGGCGCGACCAGGTTCAGGGTGCGGGCCAGGCACCAGGTGACCAAGCATCTGCACAGAAGAGCTCCCAGGTCCTCCGCCGAGAAGCTGCGCTGCGAAGGCAGGGCCCCCCGCCGCTGGCCCTCGGGGGCCCTGGCAACACCTGGACGCTTGCCCTGGTTTTTAAAGCTGCTCAGGAATCGGAAAACAGCCTGACGGTCGGCGGCGATGCCCATGTGGGTGAAGAGGTCGAGTATCTGCGCGATATCGGCTCTGCCGTCCGACTCCCGCCTCATGGAGCTCAGCCACGAGCGGATGCGCAGCCTGTCGCTGTCCATCATGAACTCGCAGAGCCGCTCCAGGGACTCCTTTCTAGCGAGCGACCTCAGGCCCTCGACCAGCGCAAGCTGCACCTCCACGTACTGGTTCAGCGACAGCAGGCTGTTTACCTCGACGTCGCCCGCGCCGAACGCGGTCTCCAGTGCCAACAGCGCCGAGGCCCGCTTCCTTCGGCTGCACGCAAGAGCGACCCTGGGTAAGAGTGACCTTTGGTGCGCGGCTTTTGGGCGGCCGCGGGGGGACCAAACAAATGCTTGCAAGACGCCACTATCGCATCGCGCTCGGCGATCGGGGAAGCCCAATGGGCCCGCACCAAAGGTCACTCCCGCGAAGGGCCACTCTTGCGTGTAGTCGATTCCTGGCCAGGCCCAGCCAGTACATCAGCGGAACCAACACGTCGTGGGGCACCCGCCCGCTGCCCTCGGGGTCCACCAGCTGCGGGAGGAGGTCCCAGCGGGGCAGCCCGCCGGTCCGGCCTGCGTGCGCCGCTGCCGGCGCCGCGCCGGCGCCGGCGCCCTGGAGGCTCCCCGGCGACAGGGCACCCAGAGGCTCCTGGTGCGCCAGGGGGCTCGCCAGCGCTCGCGGCGGAGGCGGGTCAGAGTGCTCGACGTGCCAGCCGCGCGCTCCCGAGCGCAGGCCGTCCAGGCGGTGGGCCAGGTGGGCGTGCTCGAGGCCAGCCTTGGCCTCCTGGCGCGTGGCGCCGTCGGTGTCGCCCTCCGCCATGGCCACCAGGAGAGGGTGCCTGTCTGGGTTGGCCTTCACCTTGGACGAGAAGCTCTCCGCGAAGGCGTGCGTGAAGTTCGTCGTGGCAACCTTTCGGGTGCCGCGGGGGCTGCACGGCGCCGGCAACCCCTGCGAGGCGGAAGCGCCGCCTCCGAGCTGGGGCAGCGGCTCCTGGGGCTGCCGGCTCCTCGGGAAGTGGGCTCGCCTGGCCGACAATCTGCCGGCCACCTCGTGCGCCACGCCGCGCCGCGGGGCTCGAGGCGACGCCACGGCTGGCACCGGCGGGGGCGGCGCCGGTGGCGCGGATGGAGACCGTGCAGTAGTGGCCCTCGCCTGCGGAATCCCTGCTTGCTGCAGGCCCTCCGGTCGCTCCTGAGTGACGCTGCGGGAGCTCAAGGTTTCGGTGCTGGGGATCACCTCCAAGGCCTCTTGCAGGCCGCCTAGCCGGCTCCCGTCGACGAACTGTAGCAGGGACCCGATGTCAGGATCGCTGTCGTCTTCCGTGGCAACATCTCTGAGGTTCGACGTGAAAATGACCGCCTGCACTGCGCGCTGGAACCTGCCTCGCGCGGAAATCTTGCCCGTTTGCCGGTATGCACTGGACCTCCTCAGAGAGCAACTTCGGGAACTCTGCCAGAGAGCAACTTCCGCCAGCGCACTGTCGAGATCCATTGAGACCCTTTTGTCCATCGCCGACCTCGGTCGATGGCTACAAGGCTCAGAGATTTGTCGATTTCAGGTTCAGAGCATGTTAAACAACATGAGCCCGGCGCGACCCAAATTTGGGGAAGGCTTCCTACTGCATGGGCGCGGGGCTTGGCATGGCTTCTTATTGCTTGGCATTTGCTTGGAACGGGCACAAGAAGAATACGAGGCACAGGGGGCGGGGAACCCGGGGGACACGAGGAACCCGGGGAATCCGGGGAACCCAGGGAACTCGATAAAATCTGGGAACCTGGGGAACCTGGGGGACCCCGGGAACCTGCGAGGAACGGGCCAAACAATAATAGGAGGCACCAGGGGCGGGGAACCCAGGGAATCTGGGGAACCTCCGAGCAACGGGCAAATTAACCCCCCGAGGCGCCAACCTTTCACCAGTTGAGAACCCCCTAGGCAAACCCAAATGGGGAAAAGCGCCAATACGTCTTAACACTCCGCGAGAATAACATGTACATGCTTACTCTGCGGTGGACAAACCCCCCTTAGTAAACCTCCCCTTAATGAAAACGGCCTAAGACCGAAACCGACGGACCTCGACCCGCAAAAATGACGGCAGCGACGCCCTCTCGCAAACCGAAAACGGCCAATTCCTCAATCGACGTGTCAGGGTAGGAAGTCTATCAGCTTCCGACTTACGCCATCTCCACCAATGCACGGCAACCACGACACGGCGCCCCGGAAGCGACACGGCACGCCACCCGCGGCAAGGCAGGGCAGAGCGCCCTCGGCACGCCGCGGATGCCGAGGCACTCGTGGCACGGCGCCATGGGCAAAGTGCCCACGGCACCCACGGCACGGCACACAGGGGGGACAAGACATGGCGCCTATGGCTAGACGAGCGCGTTCCACCACTCGCAAAGTAACTGCTCGCAAATGGCCTGGATCCCCCGCGGAGGATCTACGATAAGTTGCATCAAAGCGGACATGTGTTTTTCGGACGTTTGCGAGTGGGCACTTTGCGAGTAGTGGAACGCGCTCGGTGAATGGCGCGGCGCGGAGACCAGGGCACGATACCCACAGCACAGCGCTCACGGCCCGACGCCCCTGGCACAACACTCTTGAGAGCGCGCGCCCGTGGCGCACTCCCAACGGGGGGGTCCCCCTTAGCTAACACCCCCCCCCTTGGACCTGCCCTGCCGGAAGCCCCCCCCCCCCCCCCCCATTTTTCTCGCCCTTCGGAAGCTGCCCTCCTCCTTTTCGCGCTCCGGAAGCTGCCCCCCCCCTCCCTTTCCAACAGGGGGGGGGATTGATTCCCCCCTTTTTGAACTTCCCCTGCCGGAAGCCCCCCCCCCTCCTTTTTTCTCGCCCTCCGCGGAAGCTACCCTCCCCCTCAACCCTTTCGCGCTCCGGAAGCTCCCCTCCACGCCCTTCCTTTCCCAAAGGGGGGGGCTTAGCTACCCCCCCCCCTTGAACCTCCCCTGCCGGAGGCCCCCCCCCCCTTCTCCTTTTTTCCGCCCCTCGGAAGCTCCCCCCCTTTCGCGCTCCGGAAGCACCCCCCCCTCCCTTTCCCAACACTGCTCGCGCGTCCTCCTCCCGCCTCCCGCCTCCCGCCTCCCGCCTCCCACCCCCCCTCCTTCTTGTCTCTTCTTGCCTTGCCTGGGGGCTGCGATCTGCGAAACTGTCGCCACCTTCGAGGGCTGCTGGTGGGTCCAGCGAGTGAGGCACCGCGCGGACCTGAGCAGGAACTCCTCGTGCCTGGGGGGGGGGCTGCGATCAGCGAATCTGTCGCCACTTTCGAGGGCTGCTGGTGGGTCGGTCCAGCGGAGTGAGGCACCGCGGGGACCTGAGCGGGACCACCCCGTCCCTAGGGGTCTGCGATCTGCGAAACTGTCGCCATTTTCGAAGGCTGCTGGTGGGTCCAGCGGAGTGAAGCACCGCGCGGATCTCAGCGGGACCTCCCCGTCCCTGGGGCGCTGCGATCTGCGAAATTGTCACCACTTTCGAGGCCTGCTGGTGGTCCCAGCGGAGTGAAGCACCGCGCGGATCTCAGCGGGACCTCCCCGTCCCTGGAAGGCTGGCTGCGAAATTGTCGCCACTTTCGAGGCCTGCTGGTGGGTCCAGCGGAATGAGGCACCGCGCGGATCTGAGCGGGACCTCCCCGTCCCTGGGGGGCTGCGATCTGCGAAATTGTCGCCACTTTCGAGGCCGGCTATTGGGTCCAGCGGAGTGAGGCACCGCGCGGATCTGAGCGGGACCTCCCCGTCCCTGGGGGGGCTGCGATCAGCGAATCTGTCGCCACTTTCGAGGGCTGCTGGTGGGTCCAGCGGAGTGAGGCACCGCGCGGACCTGAGCGGGATCTCCCCGTCCCTGGGGGTCTGCAATCTGGGAAGCTGTCGCCACTTTCGAGGGCTGCTGGTGGGTCCAGCGGAGTGAGGCACCGCGCGGATCTGAGCGATCTGCGAAATTGTCGCGACTTTCGAAGGCTGCTGGTGGGTCCAGCGGGCTGAGGCACCGCGCGAATCTGAGCGGGACCTCCCCGTCCCTGGGCGGCTGCGATCTGCGAAGCTGTCGCCACTTTCGATGGCTGCTGGTGCCCCGTCCCTGGGGGGTTGTGATCTGCGAAACTGTCGCCACTTTCGAGGGCTGTTGGTGGGCTCGTCACTTTCGAAGGCTGCTGGTGGGTCCAGCGGAGTGAGGCACAGCGCAGACCTGAGCGGGGCCTCGCCATTCCTGGCGGGCCATGTCTGGTTATTGCTGCCCCGCCGACGTTTCAAGCCCCTTGCCCACCGTCTCCTTTTGGACCTTGCGTCTTCCTTAGCGACTCAGGGGTTCACTTAGTTTCTCATCGTTTTTCCCTTGGTTGGGGACCTGTGAACCTTCCGACTGCCGTTCGCAGAAGTATATGCGTCCATGTCACGTCGCCGCCTTCTCGTCAAATCTTCCAAGCTACTCCTGCCCCGCATTGCGCAGGGGCTGGGCACGTCGCCAGGGTAATTTTCTGCTCCTCGGAAGCGAAGCTCACCCCCTTCAAACAGGCACTGAAAACCGAAAGAACTGCGAAACCCAACGCTGCCGCGAAAACCAAAAAAGCGAGACAAACCAAAAAGTGTGGACATACGAAAGAGCGCGGAAACTTAAAGGAACACGAGAAACGAGAGAAACGCCACCGAAAAGAACACCCAAAACGAAACGAGCGCCGGAAACCAGAAGGGCGCCGAACACCAAGAAGGCGCCGAAGCCCAAAGGCGCGCCTGAAACCAAAGGGCGCCACCAACCACCAAGTCGCCACACTCAGAGGATGCGCAGAAAAACATTATAGCGCGCCGAAAACCAAACGAGCGGCAAAAACCAAAGGAGCGCCGTAAACCAAACGCACACCGAGAACCCAAATGGCACCGAGAACCCAAAAATACCGAAAGCCAACGGAGCGCCGAAAACCAAAAAGGCGCCGAAATCAAAAAAAGCGCCGAAAACCAAAGAACCAACAACTCGCCGTTAATCAAAAGAGCGCCGACAACCACGGCGGCGCCGCAAACCAAAAGGACGTCCCGAAAACAAAATATGCTCCGACAGCTAGAAGGGCGTCGAACACCAAAGGAGCGCCGCAAACACGAAGAGCGCCGAAAACAACAAGAGTCGCCGACCATCAAAAGGAACCCGAACAAACCAAGACGGCGCGGATAGCTGCAAAGGCGCCGAAAACCGCGCCGAAAACCAAAAACAGTAGGACTTGATTGGACAGGACACGCGAGAGGACACAAGACCCTTCCGATTTTTTCTCCCCAAGCGAAATTACCCGAAGGTTCGCTCGCTCAGTCAGTATCGGCCCGAATGCCGCGGCAGCGGTGCACAGGAAGCGCCCCGTGAATGTACAGAATCAAGAGGAGGAGGAGGAGGAGGAGGAGGAGGAGGAGGAGGAGGAGGAGGAGGAGGAGGAGGGGGAGGAGGAGGAGGAGGAGGATGAGGCCGAGGAGGGAGTGAGGGTAGCTCAGCCGCCAACGTGTCGGCCGTCCCAGACCCTTCCGAGGTTCCGAGGGCCACGTCGCCAATCCTCCTCCTCCTCCCCCTCCTCCCTCCTCCTCCTTCTCCTCCTGTTCCTCCTCATCCTCCTCCTCCTCCTCCTCCTTGTCCTCCTCCTCCTTTTCCTCCTCCTCCTCCTCCTCCTCCTCCTCCTCCTTCATGGCGAGGTGAGGAGGCGTGGGTCGCGGGACACGGGGCACACATACGTTCCCCCGGACTTGGCAGGGCCGCCCTGCGGACCCGGGCCGACTGCAGGGCGCCGCACGCCTGGCAGATGCCGAGGACCTTCGGTTCGCCAACCGAGCGCCAGCAGACGTCGACAGAGCGCCCACAGACCGCCCACAGAACCTCAGGACGTCGACAGAGCGCCAGCAGAACGCCAACAGAACCTCAGGACGTCGACAGAGCGCCAGCAGAGCGCCAACAGAACCTCGGAACAGGACGCCACCTTCGGACACCGACAGAGCGCCAACAGAACCTCAGGGCGTCGAGAAACACGGAGGCGCCCAGACCGAAAGGATCGCCGAAAACACGGAAGGCGCCAAGAACCACAAGAGCACCGACAACCCAAAGGACCTGGAAAACCAGCGATGCCCCAAGAACCCACAAGGTGCCGAACACCAAAGCGACGCCGAACACCAAGGGTGCGCCGAATACCGGAACGGCCCCGAAAACCACATGGACGCCCCCTTTTCCTTAGACGATCCCTGCTGGAAGCCCCCCCCCCCTGCCTCCCTCTTTGTTCGGCTAAAGGTGGAGAATGGCTTGGAAGGCCCTCCCCTCCACTGTGGCTAAAATAAGGCTCCGACAACAAAAACACCGCCGACAACCAAAGGGCGACGAAAACCAAAGACGCGCCGAAATCCCAAAGAGCGCACATCAGCAACGAAAACACCCGAACACCAAGGAGTCGCCAAAGTCCTAGAAGGCGCCGGATACGAACAGAGCGCAGAAAACCGAAAGAGCTCAGAAAATCAAAAGGAACCGACAATCAAAGGGACGCCGAAACC